GAAGTCACGCTCGAGCGGAGCTCCTTTGTCTGCATGTCCGCTCGAGCGTAGAAAGCCACGCTTGAGCGAGACCCCTATTTTCTGAAAATTTTGTAAAGTGTTTCTAAGTGCATCTTTGCATCCCCATTTCATCCTAGGCATTCTTAGGCCTAGTTTAAGGCATCTTAATGAGGATATAGATGTAGAACACACCGAGGCAATTAGGGATTAAGTTACTATCTTTCCCAACTATATAACTTAGTGTGTGTTGATCCTGTAAACTGTGTAGGGTTGGCATCTGGGGACGCACTCTAGCCTAACTGTAGCCTAGAGCTCTGTGAGTAACAATTGTGTAAAGATATGTTCAATTGTGAATATTTCTGACTGTTTAACTGAACTGTTTTCTGAACTGATACTGTTAATCGAATGAATGTATGTCCTATATTCTGAACTGTATTGTGGCATCCTTAGCAACTACTGTTTACTGTTACTGCTACTGTTACAGAGATCTTTGTCGGTTCCCTTGTTAGAACCACTACTGTTTACTGATTGATGGCCATCATTAACTGCTCGGTCTTTTAAGACCTACTGTTTAATGTACTGCTATGCTAATGGATGTACCACGTATGACTGAATGACTGAATGATTGATATACTGAATCAATGAACTGTTTTCATTACTGTAAGGACATTCATTCTAAACCCCTTTACGCATTATGTTATTCACTGGGCTTTAGCTCGCTGCACATATATATATGTAGGTATACAAGCACCAGACCGCGGCTAGGAGCGTCGGGGTAAACTCCAGTTTTGCCAAGCCAACTACTGTGCCTCACTGCGAGATTCCGAGCCTGTCTAGCAAAGGCTATGGGGTGTTTTAGTTTTCCCCCTTCTATTCTGTTTTGTAAGGACTGTATAGACCGTTACTGTACTGTTTAATAGAGATTAGGTCCCTGTTCTAAATGGTTGTGAATATTGTACATACTGTTCTGTACTGTGTATATATATATGTATGAAAAGTCTTTTTGCATACAAACTGTCACAGCTTATTGGTCATTGTTTATTTACTGTATTGGCTTCCGCCATGCCCCTGTACTCTGTTTTACTGTATTACTGTTAAGCAGGCCTTCGGTAATCACGGATTACTGGCCGGTTACAGTGCTAAACCCTTAGGGGCGGGTTTGGGTCGTGACAAAATTTCCAAAGCTTAACATAGTCCAATGAATTGAAATGCCAATGTATGCTTAATAATGCAATGCAACATTACTTCTATATTCAATTATTCCACACAATATACCATTGTGATCAAAATTTCCAATCCTCTTTTCAACACAATTCCACAAGATGAATATATATATATATACTTTTATATCCAATTCATTCAAGAGAATAACGTAATTTCCACATTTCGAGCAATCTCAACAATTTAGTCAAATTCAAGACTAAATCAACATTTTGACAACAATTTTCAAAATAAACAATATTTCTCATTTTTTTCACAAAATTCGTCATTTATATATAAATAAACAATTTTCAAAACATCCATTTATTTTGGTACACAAAATAAATATGACAACATCTTCCAAGGATTTTCAACATCTTTCAAAGAAAAGACCCAATTTCTAGGTTTTCTCACCAAAACCATTCATCTCCAAGATATTTAGAAGAATCTCCCCAAAATCATATTTCTTCAATCAATATGGTTCAAAACCTTCAATTTCTATTTTAAAAGGAAAAGAAATTAAACCCTCTTTCAAAATCAATCATCTTTTTGAAATTAATAATCAATTTCTCAAAGCTAATCAAAGGATGATTTTGAAAATTATCTAGATCTTGCAAAAATATATATATAACTCTAAGAAAATCCCTACCTCAAGTTTTGAAGAAGAAATGAGATGAAACCCCCAAAATCAACGGTGTCGAAACTTGATCTTCACCGCACACAACGAAGCCCTCGAGATGATAACTAACTTTGGTGAAGAACTTGGGTTTAAATCCCAATGGATTTGGAGAAATCAAAGAGAGAAGATGACTTCTAGAGAGAGAAGTTCCCGATCTGGAATTCTTGAGAGTTTTAGAAAGAGAAAGGACTGAAAAAGTGATATGAAATATCAGATTCACGAACTGATATAACATGGTCCGCTCGAGCGTGGAATGCCCCGTTCGAGCGTCAAATACACTAACCTAATACTTTTCCAGACAGGTCAAACTTCTGAAACCAAACATTCTCCGCTCGAGCGCATAAACAGCCGCTCAAGCAGACAAACAACTTTGAATGCATTTTACATTTTTGTTTTGGGGACGCTGCCCCTCAACCCTGCCAGGGCGCTGCCCTAGGACCTGCCAAGGGGTGCTGCCCCCTAAACCCCCTCGAACTGACCAGGCAGCTCGACTCCCGCCAGGGTGCTACCCTTGGACTCCCTAAGGGGCACTGCCCCCTGGACCCCTGCAAACTGACCGGGCAGCTCGACCCCCGAGTGGCCCAGTCGAAGTGGCAAAACATGAAAGAAGGATCGAAACCGGGATCACTACAGTTGACTCCTAATATCAACTTATAGAACTCCAGGGATTAGTGCAGCAACTTAAATAAAAATAAGAAGAAACCTAACTTTACTATAATCAAGTTGATATTGATATTATATGATAGAATCAGGGTTCTAACTTTACTAGGGAGCTGAGATTAGACTAATGTAAAATAGAGAGGGTTAAGAAGAAGCCTAGGATGGGAAAAGCCGGGTTGAAACTAAGAGCGGATTGGGTTCTTTTTCTGTTGACATAAATTATTTGGATATGCCTGCTAAAAATGAAATTCCAAATATGACAGATTCAGTGATGTTAAATGCTGAAAAATAGCCTTGCTCAAATAGTTTTAACTCTCCACCATTGCATGGAATGGCCAGCCAATTTAGAATTTTGTGAAAAATAATCCATATTTTTGGATGTGGAGAATTCACAAGGATCATGGATGCAAAAATAGTTGATGCACTCCAATATTGTTGTGGCGTTAGAACATTATGATCTTGTTGATGGAAGTAGTGGGAAGATAAATACCACAGCAACTTGTTAACCCACTTGAAGCAAAAATCATTCAAATTGTTGTTTTCTTTGATTTGAAATGAGGTCATTTGGTTTACTGGAATCTATACTTGTCTTTTCAATGATAAAAACCTCAATTCAGAATTATTAGAAATAAGATTATGTCATTTGCATTATTTTTTAGTTCTGTGACTCCATTGTATCTATAGAAAACTATGATTGATGAATTGTTATGTAAGACTACTGTGGAAAAAAGGGGTAAGTTCACCAAGGTTGTCAACCAAACGGTGTTACTTTCAATTGAATTATATGACTACAAAAACTGACTGATGAGGCATTATGTGAAGAGAATGTGTCAATCTTTGCAATTTCTTTGTTATTCAACTTTGGCTTTGATTGTACTGTTGGTTGGTTCATCAAAGGAACATTAAATGTTATAGTATTTTGTAATCTGATTGCAATTGTACTCCAAACCAACCCCAAATAGTATTGCTAGGAGACTAAGGCAGAGGCTTCATGGAGGCAATAAGCATGAAAACAATAGACAAATGGGGGTACATGTCATTATCTTGTGTTTTAGAACTATTTCAGAAAAAAAATATAGACAAATTGCCCATATGACTGCATCTTGTTGACTGACTGCATATCATTGACAGACATAGGGTGGTTATGTCAATGCATTATGCACGATATTTTCTAACTAACCTTTCTTTATTAGTTGGTTAGTCTGTTAATTTTATGTAATCTGTGAAATGTATATTTTTTAGTAAGCAAATCCTTGACACAAGTACACTAAACATGTTCTTGTATTTTACCAACCATTAATTATATTTGCATTTTTGTCCATACACAGCCCACGAGCATAGTTTTTCTTGGTGTAGATATGTTTCATTTATTTGAAAAATAGAGTAATTTAGTTTTGACAAATTATGACGCGACTCCACGCGCAGTATAAATAAAAAGGCACACCTTTGTATTACTAATAAGGGTAAATTGTAGTTAAGTGACCAAAAAGTGAGCTTTATTTTTTGTTTAATTTCTATTTGGTTCGGGTTAATTATATTTTTAGTCACCAAAGTATGCGGATCAAATTGAAATATTTTATACAATAATAATCAAATTGACACACTTTATACAATTAAAGACTAAAATGATATAAAACTCATAGTTTAGAGGCCAAAAATATAAGGACAAATTAAGATGGTTATTCCTATACTTTGATCATTATGTCATTTTACTTCTTGTAATTTCAATTGGCTCGATTTTGACCTTAAATTTATTATTTTGTTTCTATTTGATCCAATTGATTACAACTCTTAAGATTTCTTTATAGAAAATACATATATATGTGTTATATGTTATATTTTTATGGATAAAATTATAAATTTATCCAACTCAGTGAGTTAATTTCAACCAATTTAGTGATATTTTTTTTGAAAAAATACTAATGACATTATTAATTGGACTAAATTAACACAAAATTTAAAATTGAGGGTCAAAATTAGGTCAGTTAAAAATATATAGATCAAAATAATATAAGAGATAAAATATAGATATCATTGGCGTAATTTGCCAAAATATAATTAATTATTTCTATTTTATTGGTTTTTCTACGCATCTTGGCTGACAGCTATGTTTTCCACGAGACTACTTGGCTGACCCACACGCTTTCACATGTCCCAATTGTAGTTAGCCACGTGCACATGGCTATTGTGACTTGTCGATTAAGACGTATCAGGATCCTCTGAAGTATTGTCCCTGAAGTCATCCCTGAAGTGTGTTGATCCGACGGCTGAGAATATAACTAACCAAAACGACATCGTTTTGGTTAGTAATTTCAAAAAAAAAAAAAATGAATTCATTCAAAATTCCCTCAGCCCTGTGATACGTGAAGCATTACAGAGGCGATGAATTCATTCAAAATTCCCTCACCTCCTTATCCTTGAAGATAGAATTTGCATGCCTTAATGCATTTTGCATCAAATGCTAAGTGCAAAGGCGATGTTTTGTGTTAGACATGACAATAGGTATGGCCTTAGCCATTGCAGCATCCTGATCCGTAAACATTGTTTTTGAAGCCTTACTTGACATTACCTCCAAGAATCTTCTAAAAAGCCATATAAAAGAATCAGCAGTCTCATCATACATCAAAGCTGCGCCAAATATAATAGTTTCCCTATGATGGTTAAATCCAACAAAAGACGCAAATGGTCTATGTGCACTATTTAACTTCTAAGTAGTGTCGAAAGTCACAACATCACCAAATTGCCCATAATCCATGATCATCTAAGCATCGGCCCAAATTATGTTTGTAATCTGCTCCTCACTATCTAACTGGACCGAGTAAAAAAAAGATGGATTCTCCAATGTCTTCTCACGAAAATATTGCAAAATGCTACCTGCCTCCCCATATGCTAAACTGTTTTGCCTCTTCGTTCTCAAATAATTTTTTTGGTCCACTTTTGTGAACCCAAGCAACTCCCTTTCACCAACTTCATTACCCATGAGCTCAAATGCAGCATTAAGCTGGATTCCAGATTTTTTGGCTAAATCTATTTCGGTTGCTTGTGATGCAGATATCTTCCTTTGGGATGGTAACATATGCGTACATTCTGTTGGTACAAAAATATGATTATGTTGTTCAACAAACTCACCAACAAAAAATTTATGAATATTCCTATCCCACTTAATGATAAGTCGGGCTTGACAACCAGTCCTCACTTCTTGCCTAGGATTTTTTGTTAATGGATCTCGCTTGTCTACACCATGAAACCCCTCCTTATTACAAACAAATAGCCTTGATGTGATTTGCCCCTCCTTGTTCTTGTTTACATAACCCCTTCTAATACTAAACCCCATCCTTCCTCCATAAGCATTATAGAAATTATATGCTTCTTGTTCTGTATCAAATGTCATGTGAACTCTAGGCTTCCAATTACAATCACCCCCGTCATTCTCAACATTGTTAGGTTCCATATCAATGTGCCAAGTCCTCTTCCTGCTCACTCGCCTTCTAGAAAATGCATCATTTGGTTTGTTGAGTAAGATTAGGTTCTCCTTGTAAGTATCAACAACAAAATGGTTTGAAGTAGCATAAATTCCCAATTCTTAGTTTGTTGGCTCGAAGGGTCATATGAAGAAAGCACCCAATCACTTGGTGCTTTTGTCTCCAATAATATATGACCATTATTCCATATACCTAATACCTGTGTAATTCCTCTGCTTAGATCAATTGTGAACTGGTTATACAAAGAATCAACTACATCTTACTTTTTCATTATCCAAATGGAATAAGACTTGTACGCAGCACTATCTTCGTAACATAACAGAGAAAGCAATCGCCCAAATACTGAAGCCCGAACCTCAGTTCTCAGGGCTATAACACCATCTGGTAACATCATCGTTTGAAACACCTCATCACACAAATCAAATGACAAAATCAACGGATCATTGGATTTCTTCATTTTCGCAGCAAAATGAACAGCCCCTTCTAAATAAGCAGGGAATCGGCCTGAATAATCTATAGTAATCCCATCCAGATAAGAGTTTCTCCCCTTGCTAGACATTTTCCAGGAGCCCGCATTAAGGTAGTACACCTCAACGTGTGTAGTTGGCTTCTGATTGGGCAATTTAGTTGGATAAAAGTCCGCTATTCTAACCAATTTATAATCGTTGGCCCGTGGATCAAATCCAAACCCATGAGAATGCATAGAGGTCTTGACAGTAGGCTTGGGCATAGCCATGGACTTTCTAATAGATGGGTTCCAAAGAAAATACCAATCTTGTTCGTGAAGACAAAACAAACCTTTTACAGACCCAATTGCGAAAAAAAAGTGGAGACGACGACTCTTTATTGGGAATTCAAGTTCTTTATATTCATCAAATGAGTCTTCGGAATCAATAAATAGTTTATAGTGCTCTGTTCTGGTATGGGTAGTGGATACGCATTGCCTAACTATCATGAGTGGGAGTTGTAAGTATTGAAAGTGAGTGAGTGATTGAGGTGGGTATTGATGAAATTAGGGTTTGTGATGAGAGAGCACCAGGATTTGGAAACAGACCTGAATTTGATTAGGGATTTGGCGGGTAGTCTCTGGAGGATTTCAACCATGATTTCGTCTGGAAAAAAGTCTGACATAGCAATAGGCAAGCAAATCTCTTCTTCTTCTTCTTCTTCTTCTTCTTCTTCTTCTTTTTCTTCTTGTTATAGGGCTTGAGTTCAGGTCCCAAACATTAGGGTTTGGATTGGTGTTTTTTGGAATATGAAAAAATTAAAGACAGAGTCACCGGGAAGCTCGACCGCTCTCTTATCAACAACAAAAATATTTTGAAAACGAAAATGGAAAAGGAAGTCGTTTCCCTCACTAATGAAAATCAAATTTTTCAATGCATGATTGCATCTAATAAAAACACAAATCAGTAACTCACATCATTTCACTAGCAAAAGTTTTACCGACGAATAGTGTTATCGTCGCTAAATGATTAACTCTTTGCCCACGCCAATTTGTTGTTGCCAAAAATAAGCACACTAATAGCAACGCTCATTGTGTTGCTAAAACATAAACCTTGTAGCTAAAAGTTTTGAAATTTTGGCGCCAACCAAAAATTTTGGCGCCAAATGAATGTTATATTTTTTTAGCGACGGTAGCAAATTGCGTCGGTAAAGGTATACTTTTACCAATGAAATTGATCACTGTGTTGCCAAAAGTGCAATTTCATGTAGTGTCAGTTTTAACTAAAACACCATTTCAGTAACACAATGGCAACCACACAAAAACCTCAAAACCTAAAAAATTTCAGTACAATGTTAAAAGGGATGAATCAAATGTTCCCACACCTCTGCGATGGCGGCGACGACGGGACGATGGCAACGACGACTGGACGGCGGCAACGGCTGGACGACCCCCCCGCCTCTCTTCTCTCTCTGTCTTCTTATCTCTTTCCCGCCACATGGCTGTGTTGATACTGGAGGGAATGATTTTCATTTTGAATGAAATCAATTTTTTTTTTAAATTACTAACCAAAACGATGTCGTTTTGGTTAGTTATATTCTCAGCCGTCGGATCAACACACTTCAGGAATGACTTCAGGGACAATACTTTAGAGGATCCTGATACGATTAAGACATGGCTATTGGACTAGTGGGGTTGACATTTGACATATTAATATTCTTTTGTTGTCATTTTGAACATTTATTTGGAATATTGATCAGTATTTCATTTTAAAGCATAGAAAAAAAAAATGGTCAAAGTCTATCAAAATGTAAAAGCCTAACTTAAAATTAAAAAGGAAAATGTTATATAAATAAAAAATAATAATTATACTTTTTTTTTATTATAAATTGATATGACGTATATAATAATAAATCTTCTCTAAACCTTACAAGCACACTTTAACAAGAATTGAGAAAAAAAAAAATAGGGTGAACAAACTATCCATGTCTATGAGAGATTGAGCGGATATTTCTACCTCCAAGAATGCTAAGAAGAATACTCTTACTCATGAAGGGACGAGTAATATGTTTCAAAATGGTTCTTCAACCAAGAACAATTACGTGGTTCTTCCATGGTTATAATTAAGCCAAAATTCCATCAAGTAACAGCAAGAGGTGGCACGACCACCTAACTACACCCATTCCTCTCAAGATTGTTAGAGGTTTCGTTTTATTACCTAGGCTTTCGAGTTTTGAGAGCAAATTTTTTAACGAGGTAGATTTTTTGTTAATTTTTTATTTGATGTCTCTTGGAATTGGAGACTACAACATTTTTTTTTTTCAACATGATAGATGTTACATTTAACTTACAAGAAATATTCATAAACTTCCTTTAGACAGCACTACTTATTAATTGAGTAATATAATCCAAATCGGTGGTTTAGGCATATTGTGGTTAATGGTAGTGAGCAGCGGATATATCGATTCATCCAAACTGACCGAATCAAACCAATCCGTCGCATTTTGGACTGATGCGTGATGACAAACGGACGGTTGCGGATTGATTTTTTCCAATCCGCCTAGTTTTGGACAGATAACAGATTTGAGGTTTCTTTGGCCGCAACCGAACCGCCAAATCGCGAGCACCCCTAGTAATTTGTAAGATTTTGTGTTTTCAATTTGTTTAGATATTCGGTTTGTGTTTTCAATTGAAAAAAGAGTTTAAATATTTTGTTGAATATATTCTGTTGAAAAAGAATTTTCAACTTGAATATATTTTTTAAATTGAAAAAAAATAAATGTATTAATTATCTATATTTTTTAGTTTTTAAATCTAACTTTAAAAATAATAAATAAAAAAGATGATATATGTTAATTGATTTTTATTTTCAAAAAAAAATATAAATGTAACAATACAAAGGCATGCAATTTCTATTATTGCTATGTTTATAGTTTGGGTGGTTTGAATTGCTTTTGTATTTTAAAAACCACATATTGTAATACTTTATGTGGATGAGGCATGCTGTGATTGTAATATGTGGATAAGGCATGCAGTGATTGTAATATTTTAAAGTTTCAAACTTTCTTTCTTTGGATGAGACATACAGTGATTGTAATACTTTTTTAAGTCATTGACTGTAATATTTTTTTTTTAAAATTTTGAGGAAGTGCATAAGTTGAATTATGTTAAAAATTTATAAAATTTTAAACCGCTAAACCGATTCGTATCAATTCGCCAATCCGCCAATCTGCTCAATCAACATCCGCCGGATTGGCAGACAGATGCGGATTGATTTTTTTCAATTTACCAATCTAGCAGACGGATGATGGATTGGAAGTTTCATGGTCGCAACCGACCCGCGCCCACCCCTAGATGGTAGGAAGAAAAAGTGTAGGAATCAAACAAAAATCACCCAAATTTTTTTAGATGGGTGATTGTGTAATAAAAATTAAATTTGTATAGCGTAGAATTTATATATAAAATAAATTTGAATGCAAGATTATAATTCTGAATAATTTTTGTGTAGTTTAGATTCATGATATTGCTGTTGCTGTTGGAAAGTCGAAAAGGGCTAGTCAGTCCACTGGATGGGTATTATTCACGTCGATAATTACTACTCAAACCAACTCCGTGGTCCACTAGTCTTCTAAGTCTCCAAACCTTTGTCTACTCAAACCTTTGTTCATGGGTGGTCGGCAATCTTGATAATAATGTTTTGCATATCACTCATTTAAAAATCGAGTTTTTATGCATTGAATTGTATAAAAATAAAAAATAAAAAATTGATTTTTCAAAAATCTTGATAATAATGTTTTGCCTATCACTCATTTAAAAATCGAGTTTTTATGCATTGAATTGTATAAAAAAAAAATTTGGTTTTTCAAAAATTGATTTTTAGAAGGGTTTTCTTTTATCTTTTCTAAAAAAATCTCATATTTTATTTAAATTTTTAAATTTTTTTTAGTTATATCAAGATTAGATACATTTAAAAAATAATAAAAATTGACTAAAATATGAAACAATTCAATAAAAATATATATATAAACAAAAATGCACACAAATTTTTATTCAGATTTTTTATTATTTTAAGTGAATCATTTTATCATATTTTAATCATTTTTCTTAAAGTTTTGATTTAGAACAAGTAGTAGAGAAATTCTTAAAAAAATTGGAACGACAAAAGGCGAAGAAGAAGACAAATTGACAATAATAGTGATACTTTTGTAACAAGCTCAAAATTATCTCCGAGTAGTCTAATAGAAAACAACATTTTAAATCAAGGTCATCCTATCCTTGGCGATGATGCATTGTGGATTTTAACCAAATTCTTTCGTTTAAGCCATCAAATTAGTGATTTTGCCGTTTTAGAAATTTTGGTTTAGCAATATACTACATTTTAAATCAAAGTCATACATCCTTGGCAATGATGCAGGGTGGATTTTGGTAAAATTCTTTCATTTAAGCCATTAAATTAGTGATTCTGTTGCTTTAGAAAATTTTATTTTAGCAATAACTTTATTTTGAAAAGTCTGCTTTTTAACGGCATTTATTTTGGCACGTTTATAACTTTTTTTAGTATAGTATTCAAATTTGGACTTAAATCAAATTTATTATTTTTAACAATTTTCTGTTTATTTTTGTGTCTAACAATGAATTAACCTAATTTCTTATTGCCTTGTTTCATTGTGATTTCGTTTATTACAAATAATGATGTCTGCTTTAGCACAAATAGACTTTTGATCAATATAATTCAGTTTCTTTTGATAATTCTTTTTTCATCGTGATTCAAGTTGTTTTTTAACTGCTAATAAAATATCTAATCTTATGTGATAGAATATTTATGTTTTTTGAGACCAGCACAACAAAATAAAATATAAAAGAAATTACGATTATTGAATTAATTTAATTTTTTATAGATGACATACATAGAGGACATAAAAAATAAATTATTTGAAACATAAAAATGGTACCAGAGATGGATCCCACATGCCCATCAAATTAGTTTATTAAATTTAAATTTGAAAGTAGTCTAACCTATTAATTATTAAGAAGATACAATACAATAAATATAATTTGACTAAAAAACAAAGGAATAAAGTAAACAAAGATATGTTGTATATTGGTATTGTTAGTTTTAGGCCAAGTTTGACATATTGTAAAAAAGTCAAAAAGTTAAAAAATTACTCAAAAAGTTAAAAAGTTAACACTATTCACCAAAAGTCAACACTTACGATTGCACAACTCCCAATTCTAATTTTTTCCTACAAATCAATGTTTACAATTTTTTATTACACATTTTTCCATAAAAA